AAAAACCTACCCAAATTAAATTGTTGATCGATGAAAAACTTTTTCTCTGCAGAAAAAAATAATTTAGTTCTGAGTTTGCATATTAATTTAATATTTGTTCTTCTCGCTTGGTAGAAATTATAAAAAATAGATCACAAAAATTTCAAAATTTTATTACTTTTGTAGAAGCGATGTTCGATGTTATTGCAGTTTTGTAATCATTATTATATTTTAATTATTTATTTGATTAGTGTCACCAAAACCAACATGTTGCAATCAAGTGAAAACATTGATTGTCGCGACCACCAATTGCGAAAGAGCAGCAAACAAAATCGAGACAATGCAAATGCACTTATACAAGACGGCAATAACATAACAAAGTGACAAAATTATTGTTCGTATTTATACTCAGCGAGGGTGGAGCAGCAGCAATTTTTTTTTCATCCATTGTTCGTTTTGCTCTGGCAGTTATTTCCACGCAACAATCGCAATTGTCATGCAGCTGAGCGTCTCAAATCAATCGAGCCGTATAAATATTTAGCGAGTTCTGCGGAGTGGCGCGCCAGGTAAAAATCCTTCCTCTGGGCGCAGAATGGAATGGAAGAATGCAAATGAGAAAAGAAATCCTCGGTCGTTAACACTCAAATCTGCATGCACGGCATGACAAACAGGCCGGGGAGAATATTTTTACTCCGAGTTTTTTGCTTTTCAAGTGCGCTCTTCACCAAGCTCACTCAGCGTGTGCCAAAACAGTTTGAGAGAGAATATAAGGAGAAGAAAACAGACTTGTCCAAACTTCTTGAAAGTAAAATATTCATCTAGTGCCAATTCAAGCTGAAATTTATTCTTTCAGCTTTCTATTTTAATAATTATATTAATTAAAAAAATTTAAATGCTTCCAATCCTTCATTGAAAAGATTTATGCTGCCTAAATATTCCTGTCTTGAATCGCTGCATTTTTATTAAGAAATAGATAAGAATCAAGCAAATAATCTATTTTCATCGCTGAAAAATAATTTTCGATTATATTTTAATCTTAGCAAAAATAATGTTAAAAATGTGCAAAAATTTTGCTTCCATTGTACTCCAACTTCTATAGAGATGTGAAAAGGAAAGAGTAATTGGCGAAATCGGAACAGTCGTGATCTTAGATTGTATGGTTCAATTATCAAGATACAATTTTATCGCACCAGCATGACGCAGGGGAAATTACTTGCAGCATTAATCAACCGCCTTATCTGAATCATGTGTTAATATTTCATTAGTCACACTTTAATTGTAATTAATTTGATTATACCAAGAATTTTGTTTTTATGCGTCTCAATTTAAGATAAAAATTTAACACTTTTAAAATAAAACAATTCATTAAATCCTACCTATGAGTTAATAGAAGCAAAATTTGTCCTCCTCTGCATGACCTGTCACGTCCGTAATGCGTACAGAGCTGAGTATATTTCGCGCGTGTGTCCTTGCTCTCAATAATAAAAGTTGCCGACCATAGCATCTCATTTGATCGTTCATTTGGCCTGCTTCGCCCCCAGCCAATTCAGCTGGGCAAAAAATATTTCCATCAGCAGCATACTGTACGCACAAAGTGGAAATAAATATGCACTTGAAAAACCAGTCGCATTGCTAACAGAATTCATTGCGACACACCTCAGCATGCACCTCTGATTTTGAGACAAAATTCAGTGTCAATCACCGGAAAAAATTGATTTAAATTATAAAATTATATTTTAAATAAAAATTTTATCAATAATTTAATTTTGCAACGTAAAAAAGTAAATGAAATTACCTCAACCAAAATAAGAAAAATCGCGCTTTTAAATACTGTTTTCGGAAATGGTAGTTTTTCTCCACTTAAATATAATTATCTATTGATTTGCTTTATTGCTTTCTGCTTTACTTTCTCATCCGGAGAATGTAAGAAATCGCCAATTAAAGACGCCTCTTTATTTTTGAACTCCACTTCAGCGTCCTCGATTCGCCGCTGCGGAGAAGAATTAAAAGCGCACACACACGTCTCGGAATTGCGCGCAAATTTCGTCGGTCAGCCGCGCGTGAAAATCGCCAAAAATCGCCGTCTCATCACTGCGGCCTCGTTTGAGACAAGAAGTTTTGTACGTAGAGAAAAGAAGTGCTGACGAGAGATCGTCTTTCTTCAATTATTCAGTGTGTGCCTTTTGTTGCAAAAGTTTCGCGGTTGACGCAACACAGACACACAGGGGTCAGCGCACGCGGAAAGAAATCTGATTAGCCTTTTTTGGCTCATTTCGACATTATTTTATTCTATTATGAACTTTGTTTAAAAAGCAAATTGCGTCAATCTCAAGTTGTATTTTATTGTTTTACAAACAAAGTTCAAAGATTATTTTTCCATAAATATAATTTTCTTTATTTGGCGATACGGAAATTTTAAAATGAAGTAAGATTGGATTAACAGGGTAAAATAATTTAATTGCAAAAATCTGAATAGAGTTATAGTTTTAACAGGTTCATTTTTACGTTTGATGATGAATCACATAAAAGACGTTTAGATAAAATATATGAAAATCAAGATTAAATATTCATGCATTTATTAAAGCATATATACAATTTAAATCTAAGTTAATCTAAAAAAAGTTCGCATTGAAATATTATTCTGTTTGATTTTTATTTTTATTAAAATGCATTTTATTATTGTTTTTTATGTTTTAAAATAGTATGTGTTTACTAAATTGTGTAGAAATTAAAACCGGGCTTAACCTTGCATAAAAAAAATAAGAAAATTAAAATACAAATTTTCAAATTAAATGTGGCATTATATTTTAACATTTTAGTTCAATTCAATGCAACCATTATTGCAGTGATCATTGGCAAAGATGACCAAAGAAACTTAAATAAGCACATCATGCACAAATTAATTGCGAGAATCTGCTGGCAAAAAAGCCAATTATTTTGCGACATACTCGGTGATGGGCCTCTTTTTTCGACGCTCGCGAGCCACGTAAATGCCTGCGTAACAGTTCGCGGCACTAATTAGCGATTCCGAGTGCGTGCGCTATTATATTATATAATGAACAGACGCACGTCCTTTGCACTAACGAAAGTGAAAATAGCTAGGCTCGCACGCTCACGCGGCCGTTGCTACTTCTGTACATATTCTGTTCTGTGCCATTGAGTCTCAAGAAACAAATTGCACGCCGGGGAACAAAAGTCTCGGCTTGAAATGACACATGCTGAAAGCGGTGCACACCTTTCATTGTGCTCAATTACGTCAAATCTTGAATAATTGTGTCGGTGTGTATATTTGGTTGACCAATCATCTCTAATTCAAAAGATGCAGGAAAACTAGTTTGCATAACTCGAGTGACATTAGAACTGTTTCTCGCTCATAGTGCAAGAAGAAATAGAAAGCCGGAGATGATAGAAAATATTGATATATAAAAAAAAATTATAGGGAAACTGATTAATTTTTAATTTATAATGCAAATTACAAGTTTTCTTAAAGTAATTGAACGTTAAACATTTCTAAGATAAAAATTACCAAACAAAATAATGTCTTTTAATAATAAAATCATATTTAAATGACACATCTGAAAATGTCTGAATACTTTATTCCTTCAAAACAAAATTTGCGGTTAATTTTATTTCTTTAATTTTTTTATCAGCAAAAAATTTATATCCGTATTGTCTGGATGTCCTTCAAATGCACAAGAGTGGACCTTACAATTATATGGGGTTTTCCTGGAAGTCTGAAAGATTTTTTTAGGCTTTGATCTCGGCATTCAAACTTTCTTTGCCTCGGTCGGAGCTTTTTTAAATTCAGACACAGTGTGCACTTTCCTTGAAACCCGACCGATATAACAAAACCCGCTTTGGCTTCTCTGCAGCGATTTGCGTGCCCGATGGAAGACAAAGAGATGCCTAAAGATAATGCGCAGCCAGGCGGCGAGAGTTGAAGGCCGCGCTCGTCGTCTGCTCCAGTTGACGGAACAAAATTATGAATCAGCCGATTATTTAATATATAGAGTGAAAAACGATCTCGATCCTTCGGCCGGTAAAATGCGCCACACACGCACTACCACTTTTCGTCAACAAAAAAATGGCTCAAGGATAGCTTCTCGCCCAGGCGATCGCAGGCGGCACTTCCAGACCGTCAAAAACGCAGAGGAAATAGTCGCCATTTGAATTCTTCTTCTCCCTTCCAGACGCAAATTTCGTCCACTTTTGGTCAACACCGCGAATCGACGAATTAATTCAGTGGGGCAGGTCACGGCCAGCAACCTTTGCGTCGAGAATTATTGGTACAGAGTGCACAAAAAGCTTCATGAACACACTGTTTGCTGGCACACAAATATTGGTACACAGTGAATAAAACATAACATTTATTTTAAAAAGATATTTTATTTTTAAATATAAAATAAAATAACATTTTTTATTTGTGATTTACAAATGATTTAATTTAATTTTTATTTTATTTATTATGATTTTATATTAAATTTTAAATGCTTTAACTTTTGTCTGAATGCTTATCAATCACTGCTAAGAAATTTTATTAAATAATTTTAGGCAAATTTTTTTAGGTAAATCAAATTTGAGATGTTTTGCCATATTAACAAATTTATTAATCGGATATGCTCAGGTCAAAAAAAATCCTTATTAAAAAAATTATAACTATTATCAAAAGGAAAAAAGTCATTTTTTTATTATTTATATATTCTAAGAAAAATGGTAGGCTATTGTAATTTAAGCATTTATAGCTTTTATAGGGTAATTTTCGCAATTCTTGGCTGCCCAACGAATTGTATTGCAGAAAAGCGGTAATGATCAAACGGTGCAATAAAAGTGCAGCTTGGCCGCCGCCACAATATTTGGCACTAGCACAGAGTAGGTCAGAACAAAGTGCACAAGCGGCGGCGAAATAAAAATGAATATGTGTGCGAGTGAGTTTGAATGTGGAGCTGTGCTGCTGGAATCGACTACTCTTGCTAGGCGGTGTCTCTCGGCGGCTATTTTCTCTCTCTCGGCAGGTGGGGAGGCCAGGTATAAAAGGCGGCACTGGCCGAGGAAAGGGTTGAAAGTTAGTCTGTTTTGTGGTGAATGATGAGGTGCTTCGTCGTCTTCGCTGCCGTGCTCGCTCTTGGTACGCTTACTTTTATCATTTTTTTTTCTCACTCTCTCGCGAATCCAACGTTTTGCCAAGGAGATTTTAACGTGCGCAATAGAAGATCGCCTGCTTCGTTTTATTATTATTATTTTTGCAAATATTTCTCCTTATTCTCTTCTTAAAACTATAATTTTGCTACTTTTATCTCTGTTAAATCTCTGTAAGACTGCAAAAAATCCCACTAATTTCGATTTCAAAGTAACTTTATTTCAAGCCTTTTTACACTTCATCTCTTAGCAACAGTTATATCCTTTTTTTTCGAGAAAATTCTGCTAGAGTTTAGTGTTCAAGAATTTGTGTCAGATATTTGTTGCTTTTTCTTACTCTCGAAAATGAACAAATTCATCGCATTTCACATTTCTATACGGTGTGCGTGCCAGTTCGGAGAGAGTGACAAATTGTAAAAGCCAGAGGGCAATTTGTAAACAGCTCGTTGTTTATTATTATCGGCTCTTTTCAATCGATTTCAACTCTCAAAGCCTGCCGTCTGTTTCTCTTCTCGTTTCGATTTCAGTCTTTCTCATGAAAGCGAGTCATTGCGCGCGCGAAAGTTATGTAAAGAGTTAACTGTAGTTCTTTTCTCCTCAGTGCGTTTTATATTGCGTAAGTGATTAAGGCCGCTGCGTGTGGATTAAATAAGCGAGGATGTGGCGAAAGACGGGAGGATCTTAATTTCAGCCGGGACGGCCTCAAATTAAGGCACATCTGTTTCAAACACGCAATTATCTTCACAAGCGAAACGTTTTAACGCGTTAATTGTTGCAAACAAACTATCAAGCAAGTGGGAAATCGCGTATTGATTTCATCAGTAGGATTATTTCGGGCCTACAATAATGATCCACGGTCCATTAAAGCCGAAAAGTATCGGAGAAAGTGGCTACTTTTTCCTATGCATCTCTTAAGAACACACACTCACGCGTCTGCCTGTTATATTTTTTTGTTTAGAGTAAAAGGCACCCTCCGGTTCCTTTCTCTCGATTTCTCCACCCCGCTCAAGTGCAAGGTCACTTTCTTTCTTTCGTTCCTTTGACTTCTCACTTGACGCCAGGAAATGCCTAATTAGCCGACAAAAGTAGGAAGTGATTTTTTTTTATTTTGAGGACCCGCCCAAACTGTTGGCGGTCCATCGTAGAGAAAGTGGTGCGTCGCAGCTTCCTTCCTATAATTGAGCTTCAGATGGGCACGTGATTTACTCCATGACTTAATCCCACACCTTTCACTTTCCACTCGGCAGGGTTATGACCTAACTCTCGGTTGCGAATTCACTTTCACTCCGCTAAAGGTTAAGAAGCTGCCCGCCCAGGGAGCAATGAACCCGTTCCGCTCCTTTCTTCTAATTTGAGGTCACTTGAATCGGAGCATTTTAATTTATGAAAAGAAAAACGACAGAAAAAATTTTACCTCTGCTATTGGTGAATCATTTTATTAATTTATTTTTCCTTCTTTTTTAAAACAGGGGCTGCCCAAGAAAGCTTCAAATGTCCTGATGATTATGGATTCTACCCTCACACAAAGTCTTGTGACAAATACTGGAAGTGCGAAGATGCCAAGGCTGAGCTCAAGACTTGCGGTAATGGTCTCGCTTTCGATGCCAGTGACCCCAAGTACTTGACCGAGAACTGCGACTACCTGCACAATGTTGAGTGCGGAGACAGGACCCAGATCGGTGCGTAACATAATAAATAATATTTTAAATAAATAGATTTTACACTATTTTCACCGTGAATAGAAAGTCATTTCACTATCGACAAAATTATCTCTGCATATATTCTCTTATTCACTGCCAAGGTTGTTGAAATTTTTGAGGCCGTGCATAATGTGAATTTTATTGCCGCTTTATCGCTCCACTTGCATACATGTGCTTTCTACGCGCCAATTAGAAAGTCTCTCTCACACACGCGTGGCTGACTTTCTTTCTTTCTGATTTTCGTCTGCAGAGCCGGCCATCAGCACGCCTCACTGCCCCCGCCTCTACGGAGTCTTCCCCGACGAGAACAAATGCGACGTCTTCTGGAACTGCTGGGATGGAGAATCCAGCCGCTACCAGTGCTCCCCTGGTCTTGCCTACGACAAGGAGTCTCGCGTCTGCATGTGGGCTGACCAGGTCCCTGAGTGCCGCAACGACGGTCAGTACCCCTAGTGATATAAAAATAAATAAATTCAAAACGACCCTGACCCTTTACCAAAGTCAAGATCGAGGATAATTTTTCCCACCACTCTTTTCTCGCAAATAAAAATTTTTACCACATGCAACCGGCTCGACATCTACGTCCAGCAGGTTGCCTAAAACTTGCTTGCTTGTCTGACCTTATACGTTGCACTTGCAGAGGTCGCTGGAGGATTCGCCTGCCCTGCTGCTGGTGAGATCGCCAACTCTGGCACCTTCTCTCGTCACGCTCACCCTGATGACTGCCGCAAATACTACATCTGCCTGGAGGGAGTTGCCCGCGAGTACGGATGCCCCATCGGAACCGTCTTCAAGATCGGAGATTCTGATGGCACTGGAAACTGCGAGGACCCCGAGGATGTTCCCGGCTGGTAAGTTTCTATTAATGTTAACCTTCTGATTGCAATTGACTCTTCCCTTGACTTCCGACTTAACTCTCTGAGAGGAAAGGCCATCGACGTTTTGATTGTGAGAGGGACAAGCAAATGTCCCTTCCATTAAAACCGGCTTTCCTCAAACTCTCAATTTAAATCTCACGTTCTCTAAATGGACTAACAATAACATGGGACTTCAAATATTTTGCCCGAGACGCACCTGAATCGGATTGCGCTCCGAGAAGTGGCGCCTTTGCGTCTTCTCGCGAGCGGCGCCGATTCCGTCGTGCCGTCGCTCCCCCCGACTGGGCCCCCGCCGCCCCCCACCCTTCTAAACTCGGCCCCTTCTGCTCTTCAGCGAGGACTACTATGGTGATCTCGACCTGAAGTCCATCCGCAAGAGCGAACTGCTCGCCGGTCTCAACACCAGCTCCAAGCCTCACTCGAACAAGCAGGCCGCCGCCAAGAAGGCCGCCGCCGCTCCCCGTCCCGCTGCCGCCCCTCGTCCCGCCGCCGCCCCCGCGGCGAGGCAGCAGCCCCAGCAGCAGTCCCACGACGAGGACAATTAAATTCTAGCCGTTAAAAGATAGGAGCGCGAGAGAAAAAGTTAACAAAAACAAAAATCAATAGGTATAAATCCCCCGCCGCCCAAGAGGCCCCTGGACCAAAGCAGTCAATCGAAATTACCCGCCCCCAGGGCCCCCCAACCCCCGGTGCATGAGGCTTGATCTGTCATATATCTCTGTCTCTGTTCTCCATCTTTTCTTTTGCGATCCCGCCTCTGCTCACGCTCGTGTAATTTGTGCACGCAGCGAAGACTACTACGGAGACGTCGACCTGAAAACCCTCAAGAAGCTAGGCTACTAAACCGCACCTGCGGCCGCCTCCAGCCCTGCGGGCCCCCTCCCCCATTTGACTGCCTATTTTGTACTGTGTGAGTGGTTTTATTATGTAAATAAAGAGACAATTAATTATGTAATTAAAACATTTATGCTACGATTTTTATTAATATCAAGATTTTACCCAAATCTAAATAATTTTGAAAAAGCCTAATATTTTTAAAGAGGTTTAGCTGAAAAGATAAAAAAATAAAACAGCACATATTTTGTGTATGATAAAAATTCACTTTATTGATGTTAAAATGCATCAAGATTGATAACATTTTCACAGTACTTAACATCATTGTGATCCAAGAGGCGCAATAACAATCAACTTGAATCGCTTTTATAATTCTTGTAACATGCCCTCTCTTTGAGAAAATGCGCGATCCGGCTTTCAAATTTTTCGCCTTTTTTTTAGGAATATGTGAATGAGCAACTCGCTTTTGTGGCGCTGATATTTCGTATTCAAAATGTCCTGTTTTGGATTCGGGAATGAGCAAAACATCAACCTGCTACTGAAAAGAATAATCGTGTTCGAATGATGGCTTTATATTTTTGTGCCGGTGGAGGTGTACTCAAAAGGAAAGGTTTACAATCGACTTACGACTACGTCAGTACAAGTACTTGTCTTATGCTAATATACTTTCTCTATCCAGAATGCAGTGAATGCGTTTTTTTTCTTTAATTTCCAGAGAAAACTTCTGAATATAATTAAAATACTATGTATATTCTCGTGTAAAGCTGCTAGTTATTTTTCGTCTTGTAGTTTATCAAATAATTAAATTCTAGTCGTAGTAATTGCTGGAAGCCCAAATCTATGTTTTTTTTTTTAAATTTTATCCTCCGTTACATAGTAATCTACCGCTCAAGATTTGATTCGTATCAACGTGTTTTAACTGCTTATCGCTTTATTAGTAAACATGCTTTTCAGTGAATTCACGATCGATTACATGATATCGTCTAGGAACGGCAGGTGTTAAACTGCTGCTGTGCGTTTCAGTTTTAACAACTAATTGTAAGTGTCTAAAGAGGCAAACTTCTTTCGAAGAGTAGTTGTTTACAAATGCAGAGGAAATGATAAATTGTCCTTTATGGCAACTTGGTAAAATTAAAAGCAAAATAAAAAATTAAACTTTTATAATACATTCTTAACAAAACTTAAGCAAAATGCAAAGATAAACAAAAGTTTTCATCAAATAAGAGAGCTAATTGACATAAAAAAAATCACATTTAAGGCCCTCTGCAAACATAATTGCATCGACGTAAGAGTAAAAAACAATATGTCTGTACAAAACAAGTGAAAATGAATTGTCAAAGGCGATAAATCACGTGTGTATAATGTGATCACTTTTCTGTCGTAGGATGGCTGCGCGCGATTTCAAAATTTTTCAATTTATTTTTTCGTTAACTGTCTCTTGCCCTGGATTTTTCAATGCATCAACGTTGTTTTATCGTGTTTGCTAAGGCACCTTTTTATGCAGGAGGCAGTGAAATTGAAACACAAAACCAGCTCTTACTCCCTAGAAAAGCGCGAATTGGCAAGATAACATATACATCTCAATATTATACATGCGCCGTTAATGTACATTATATTATATATATTCTCATCGAGTCTCTTTCTGTAGTAAAGCTTGCTTTTATTATCAAATAACTCCTTTGCGAGGCGGCAAAATGCGCTTTTCTTACAGTTTAATATACCATTGTAAAACGTCCTGTAAATACCAATTTTAAATGACGAGAGAAAGCTCCGTTGCAATGCAAAACTTTCAATGAGCATTTTGCCACCTCAAAATCTAAAATCTACCAACAAGTTGATTAGTGACGGCGTCAAAGTTGCAGCGAAAAGCTTCAAAATACGCGCGCGGTTGGTGAGTGAAATTGGTGTTTGATCGTTTTACTCGAGTTATTAATTCATATAGTTGAGGCTCGTGCAAATTTGATTATAACTGCATGAATTCCTGTTTTCTTTTTTACTCTAGAGCGGATTGTGCGTTGGATGCGTACATGTGAGTGAGAGAAGAGAGGTGTATGAGAAGGAAAGTTTCTTGTTTTTAAATTTCTAGTATATGCATGTATATAATTATTCGTAAAATTAGCGATGAGCAATTACAGCCTAGCTCACTAAATTCGGTCTGACTCGGTCTCTATCTCTCGTTTCTCGTTTTATCAGCATCGCCAGTTTGAGATCACAAAAGGCTACAAGAATTGTAGTTCAACTGCTCTCCTCTTATTGTCTTCCTCATTCTCTGGTCCGCGAATTTGTGACCAATTTTCAATCGATTTTCGTCCATTTCGTACATTTTAATTTGGTGGCTGCTTTTTCCGTACGCTCCACCTCGTTTTTTGGACCCTGTTTTCTGTTTGCGCTAAAACTGCTTTACCCATATGAATTTGCAAGGCGGATTTTACTGCTGGCCAGTGAAGGATAATTTATACATATAATTTATCCACTCGATTAGTTTTTGTTTGTGATTTTCAATTTCATGTGGAATGAGCAAAATTATAAAAATTCGTAGGCTGGCCAACAAACAATTTTCAGCAAAATCTATCACTTCGATCACTGCCCTGGCGCTGACAAATCAATTTAAGAGTAAAAGGTGCCCAAACAGCGCCCTCAGGTGGCTCGGTTTTGCCTAAATTCATCCTAGAGAATGAACGTAATTTCAATGAGCAAATTTTTCAAATTAGATTCCAGTTATCAAGAAATAACTTCACTTATTAGTATGGAATGTTGATTCGTCCGTTTCAGAGGACGTGGCTCAAAACCGGCCGCGTGACAGCCCTGTTGGTGAGAGCAGCTTTTTGTGGACGACGGAAATCAAACAAAGTGCGGAAGTGCCTACAGGGGGCCTTTGGCGCCCCCGCGCGGGCCTCACTTGAGCTTGAACTTAGCGAGCGGCTTGAACTCGAGCTGGTGGGCGGCTGAGAGCGCCGGCACATAGCCCCACAGCTTCATCGCCTCGACGCACACGTTCTGAATGCGCCGCACGTCCCGATGGGACAAATCCTGCCGCCAGTGGAACGGCGCGACCTTTGAGTCGCGGAATGTGCTGCTCACGCCTCCGACGTTCTCCTTGGTGTGCGTGTCCAAGAATAGCCGCACGGCCGGGTGGAAGTTGAGCTGGAGGAAGGACAACATCTCTTTCACCTTGCGATAAGGGTCAAGAGAAATGTCTTCGTAACGCATCACCTTGAACCTGGAAAACAAGTGGTTAAATTAGAGTTTGTATTAAAATTGAGATATTTATATCACTAAAAGTTTGTAGTTCATATATCAAATTATAATTAATAATACTACATATAAAATTTAGTTTTTAAAATTATTTTGCTCTACACAACAAAAATTGTATTTGTATTTTACCAAAATTTGTTAACTATATTTTTTTAATATTTTTCTATTTTATCTATTTATAAATTTTTAAAAAAGATTTTTATACAATACATCTTTAGAGTTTTTTTCCAAAAAAAAATTAATTAGAATAGGCTCTTCCAATGGATGCAATAATGAAACGATTGAAATAAGTACCTGATTGTGGGGATATTGCCATGACTTAAAAGGAACTTTAAAACATTATATAAAATTGATACAATTATTATGAAATTAATTAATAAATATGAATAATAAATTGTCTACTTTGACTATATCAGCTCCGGAAATTACTTATATCTAACTACTGATTATATTATTTTTATTTAAATTTTCATTTCATTACATAATTAAAAAATGAATATTGCAAAAAGCGTTGAGATTAATCAAATCCCCAAAGAAAAAATCAATGCATTATGTCATGACTTTATGCCACTTATTTTTATTAGTTTTATTTAGCTTATGTTCCAGTGCATTCATAATTATATATTCACCTGTCAGGGAACTTTCGACTAAGTCGAACAGCAGCATAGTAATCGTTGGCGAGGTCAGCGCATAGCAAGGCAGGGTCGTCGCAGTCGGGGTTGCCAGGGCACCATTCTCTGTGTCTCCTCGATTGCATTGTGCCTCTCGGGTCGCGAATCAAAAGCAGGATTCGCACATTCGGCAAGCTGTATTGTACAATCATTTATTTAACATGAATCAATTTTTGACTTATATTTTAGAATTACGTTGGGTCTTGAAGGAGTTTCTCGGCGAGACGCACGCGGAGTCGCACCACCTTCATGTTTTGCACGGGGAAAAGGTTGCACATGGACGAGAGGAAGTCCGGCCGCCAGCAGAGATTGGGGTGCGCCTCGCACTGCAGCCAAAGGCGCCGATTGTGCGTGAACAGGAACACGTGCTTCTTGCCGTACTCGAGGTAGTGGTCTGGACACACGGATAACATCAAATTATAAATGTGTAAAGAAAGAAACTGGGGTGTTCAAGGCTTAGAGGGTTATTGCAACCTAATGGAGAGTACGCCTGGTTGCGTGACGTTTAAAATCTAAAAGTAAGTTTTAATTTCATCGTCAAAATACTCCTTGGACAAATTATATTACCTAATTTAAAGTAGGGCTGGAGATTTGTAATCTTAAATTTGAAAATCATCAATTTCTTGGTAAGAAGATGATATGTATAAAAATTCCTGGTAGAGATAACGAGTTTCAAAATACGAAAAACACGGTTATAATGTAGATTCTAGATTTTGAGCACTTTTAGATGATAACATTATAATTTATAATTTGAATTTTTAACCTCATTGTCAGTATAAAAGGGGGAGGGTAATTTGATCCCTCAATTGCAAAAAGAGTAAAATATAGAACAATATTTCTCACCAAGGCCAGTGTAATTGCAGTTGAGCAGCTGCCGCAGAGTTTCTTGCGCCTTCTCTGCTAAGGGTGCCCCCCTGACCTGAACAATATCCAAGTCCAACAGGGGTTCGTAGTGGTACCAACTGGCAGGATGGCTGTTGAGCACGTCGCCCACAAAAGTGGAGCCCGAACGCCACGTGGTGAGCACCACAGAGCGGCGAGGGGTGCCTCCTAGTTCAGGCACAAGGCCGGCCAGCGAGGTGACGTTGTCACCGTGCCGGCCGTAGACGTAGCCGATCATTTCATCGGCCAGCAGCCGTCGTTGGAAGGCGAGTGCTTCGGCCTGCTCGGCGCCCAGCACCTCCTCGTCCACCTCCTCCGCGCTCCAACTCTAAAAATTGTTAATTTTCATCATTTAAATGTTATACAGTCCGTTGTAAGAAATAAAATAATTTAAATTTTTTTAGTTTTAATTCTAATTTTTTTAAACAAAAAAATCAACACGTTTTTAAAGGGGATTATTATTAATCAAATCTTCTTTAAAATAAGTAGGACAATTTGAATTAACAGCCTTGAGCTACATTTATCCCATTCAAGTTCCTGCTCCAGCATGAGAGGCTTTTGACGACTTGAAAATTAAACGCCGCCTTTTATAATCAAAGAGGATCAAAGTGAATTTTGTTTGATGCACTTGAGGAGCAGCCCCCGGAAAACGAGTCACCTTCTCTTTCGATGCTACGAGGGCTGCTTTGAACCGAGATAAGTGGGCTTTTGATCTGAATATCCCGTACATGTTAAGGCTTTAGAGATTAAACTGCTTTCGTTATCGCATAGAGAGCTGCAAGCTGATGCAATACATATAACAAGCTTTGAAAAGCTTATCCCTCTATTGCGCACAATAAAAAATATACAAGTTCCTTACTTGAATGGTTCTTCCCAAAAGAGGCACATGGCTGAAGTTCCTGGCGTCGGACAGGAGGACAGTGTGCAGCAGGAAGATGGTCACGGACACAGCCATCAGGACAAGGCAGGCGGAATATCGCCGGGGTAGGCCCGCCCCCTTGGCCAACCCCCGGGGCACCCCGCCAGGCAGCAACGGCGCCAGCGAGCTAGAAAAATAAAAATTTGAAATTAATTTTTTTAGATTTCTTTATTACAAATACTAATTTTTTTTTAAAAAAGTAACATTTAAACCATTTAAAAAACCTAGCAATAAGACTAGAGAATATTTTTGTATTTGCGATTATTTAATTTAAATAAGTGCAAGACCAGCCTGGACGTTTGATTATATGCTCAATCAATATGAATCAATAGAGAGGTTTTTATTTAAGCAAACAATCACGTGTTGTTAATTCGAGTGGATGGAAAGTTGTCGAGGATTTGCCGGTCGAGCGGGCAAATAGATCAATAAGTGGAAGCTAATGAGAGTATTGACTGCAATTGTTGCTCGCTCTAATGAGGGCTGAGCGTGTCCTCGTTAATCTGGCAGCGCCGAGTGTTATCTACGAAGCCGAAAATCTAAAGGTCCGGTCGGAACACGTGCAAAGCTTCACGAGTAAAAAGTGCGATACAATCGTCTCCGTTAGACAAACGCAAGCCTCCGAATTTGATATTATGCAAATTTTTTTGTTAGTTAGGAATTTTAAATTATAAATTAACGGTTTTGTGGTGAAACTTCCAGCTTTATTGCTCCCTGCAGAGATGAACACAATTTGCATTTTGAACTTGCAAATTGAAAATTCCGCAGAGGAGCGTTAACTTTGGCCGCAAATGGCCCGTGCAAAATTAAACAACAAAAAGCGCGTGGTTAAAAGTGCGGGTGATTTATTAGCTCGTTCCTTTTATTTTTGTGACGCAGATGCTACGCAAACAGCTTTTATCGACAGCCGGTGTAATTCACGCGGATTACAATGTGAACGTCTGATTAATGGACTGACAGATTTCGCCTGTTTATTTGGTCGCAAATTATCTAAACAACACGTCCTGAAACGTCTCAACCGGAATTTTCCGATCGTAAAATCCAATTTTCTGAACGAGAAAAGGGAGTCGTATAAAATTGATTGTGTGTATTATGTAGTTGGCTTTGCCTTGCAACTCATCTCGCGAAGGTCTCTCGCGCTTTATACTCCAATGACCATCGGCGCAAGGAATCTGGTTTGTGGATTTGCATGATACCGATGACCCCGCGAGGTCAGCGACCTGCCTTCAAGCCACGTGACCCGCAGATCGACGGCGCGCTCGCGATAATTTGTTTTTGATATTCTTCATGCCAGGCAGAAACCAGATCGACGTATAGGTAAAATAAGTTCTTGTGGCTTATGGATGCAGAGTGGAAAATATCAAAATGAATTAATCCACGGCTGTAAACAGTGTTTATAAGTTGCTAGGGTGGAAGCGCCGCCGACTGTATACTCAGAGGACTTGACTTTATCTCGTTTGAATTTCAAATTATCTGCCCAAATGTGGTGGGTGTATTTCCGATTAAACAGCGTTTGACGGCTTTTGAGGATAAATAATGATAGCGGTAGCATGAACTACAATATTGAAGCAGTAAAATATTATCTATAATAAAAGAAAATTTTTAAAGGTCAAAATTAATATTTATTTTATATAAATTATTTATTGTTTTTTCAAGTTTTTTGAAATAATCATTTTTTTTTTTAATTTAGTTCAAATTTATATTAGGGTAATGTAAGATATATATATTTAATTTAATTATTCAATTGAACGCCAAATTAGTTTTTAAAGTTATTATTGATGCTTCTATGTCTTCAGCGATTTCTGATGGGTTTTGGCACTTACATTATAAATAATTCGGAATTCTGAGATTTAGCAACCACCAAGGTGTGACTCTTGGCAAGTCTTTCTTTATAATGCAGGCACGGGCATAATATTGCTCGTGACTCATGACACGAGAAAATATACTGTTAAAATAATAAATTGGAGGTGATTTTCCAATAAGACCTCCACTCTAACTGTAAAAAGCATTATTGGCTGCGCCGACAACTTCTTTCGAACCAAACATTTCCGTGAGAAAAAATGCATGGAAAAATCTGCTGCCAGACATTTGTTTTTCATATATCTAAAAAAAATGGCAAAAGTGGAGCGGTGATGAATTATAACACAAAAGCATAGGCTGAAAGGTCTCCAAAAGGCCACTGTGTATATTGCTTGTTGTTACACACCGCTGGCTCATTTTTTTTCGCTCACTCCACTTTATGTCGCGGAGCAGAGGTCGTCGCACGGTGGCGAATCGTTGTTTTTGGTGCGGTGGCTTGCACGCGGACAGCAGCAGCACCGATTTGAATTTGGAGTTATGAATGGCGGGCCACGCCCCTCGGATCAATAATTTTGTTTCCGTGTCGACCAACAATAAAAGAATAAGGGCCGCCAAATGAGCGGCCCAACACGTTTCGCCCGATTTTATCGCGCGGCCAAATGCTCAAATCCGCCGCGCGCGTATATCTGCAGAGCGATGATTGCGCCTGCCGCAAACGAAAAGCCAACGCTCTGCTTCTGGCAGAGATTGACATCTTGGTTGACCATTTGTTTTAATTGTGACTGAAAGAGGACGGCGCGTTGATTAATTGATAGCATTTATTTGAGTGCCACTGCTTTCCTACTAATTAAAGGACACATAAAAGATAAAATTTCAAGCTCAGTTTTATGTAATAAATAAAAGAATCTAACGCTAATGCTTTTTGTAAAATATTATTTAAATTTCAATTTTTTTTTCCAATGAAGTAATAATTAATGGCGTTGGTTATATTGTGAATCATTAGACTTACACATTTAGCTGACCCAAAATATTATACTGCTTGTAGAAAACTTAAGAATCTTACAACTTTACGTCCAATATCGATTTGTGGTTCTGAGCAGATTAGAAAATTTCTTACTATAGCTTTAATTTAAGCATTAAATTTTAAGCACAATTTGATACAAGTAAATTAATTGTTAAAATAAATTATTTGATAAAAACTGGCTACAAGAGTGAATTATTTTGCCAAGAGAATGACTAGAAATTTTTTGCAAGTCTAGGCTTTCTGGTTTAACAAAAATACAAGTTTTTTTATTTCCTTTTATGGAATGAAACAAAAGTCGCTTTGCTTTGAAGTGGCCGCTGCGATGCGAATAGAGAGGCCTCATTTTGGCCACTAAATTATTTGTCATAATCAGAGGTCGCTCGCGCGTGTGCTCGGAATTGCACACAGTATTATATATAGTCGTGTGATATAATGAAGCGAGTCAGCAATTAAAATGCAGACCGAGTCGCCGCGCTTCGCTTTATGGGCTGCGCTCGCTCGTTGGTTAGCAATTTGAGGCTGCAGGCCATTGAGAAAATTGGCTCGCCAGAAAGAACAGCGAATATTCGCCCCTTCCTTACATTCATTGTCTAATGCTCGCGGTGTGCACTGCTCATTGTCGAGCCAAGAGATGATTACACACACACATACACAATAACAGCGCTTTGCATTCCACCGCTTTTTCACAATGCGCATTACGTGCCTCTCCAAATTTCGCCCTGTCGAGAGTTTTTGGCTCCAATGAAATTTCTTGAGCTTGAGAGAAGACTCTTTTGAATTATATATTCTGCTACTTATGATGTTTTGTTACTCAAAAGGTGTACTAAAGATAAGACTTTTGTGTAAACTTTCGATGACATATTTTTGATAAACAGCGATATTTGATCTCTTTCACACTTGGGTTGAACCGAAAATTAGGAGAAAAAGAGTGAAATCGCGTGCTTTTTGCTCATAAACCGGAGACTTGTCACATTTTGCGTGCGAGTTGTCACTCCACAGGCAAATTGAAGCATCGAGATAGAGCATGTAAAAGGAAACGCGTTTTCACGCGTTCTAATTAACCTTGGCTTGTTGACTTTCAAGGCGTTATCCGCTTGTAAAATCACAACAGAATAAAAAATTCACATTTTTTATACAAAAAAACTTTATTAGACTATTATTTAATTTGTATTTTTATTTGGAATTATTATTAAATCAAGGTGAAATAAAAACTAGGATGAATTCAAGTGAACATTTTTTTTGTTCAGCAAACCGAGAGGATTATGTTTTACTGTAAATATACTTAAATTCGCTCGATTAAGATATTTTCTCTCTACGAGTTCATTGTATTTAGAAACGTTTTGCTGAACTGATTGTAGAAGATGCTCGCAAAGTGAAATTTGGTAAACAAAAGTTGCATGTCTGTTGTGAGTGAGAAGAGACAAAAAGACATTATAAGTTGAGAGAGATGAGCAGAGCACATCAAATGAAATGTTGACGATCACGCATTTTCGTTTTCGACTGCATCGAGATGAAACAACTTTCTTTATTTTGCCCTTACTAACTGTTTATTTAGAAATATAAAAACACGATCCATAAAACTGCAATAAAAAAGAAAAGATCAAAATTGATTATTTTTTTATTACTATTGCTATATATTATGTGCTCCGATCAAAAATATACAGAGTAAAAATAATTTGAAGTTTATTTATCAAATTTATATAAAAAAAAAATATGAATATTTTTAAAACGTAAGAAATTAAGAGTTATCGTAATTTGTCCCTCTTTTTAAACATTTTGTTTTTATAATTTTTAGGTACTTAATTAAAAGGATCGTTATATCTGGTAATATCAATTTAAACATGCTCGTGACTCTAATTTATTACATTTAAATCTCCCCTCTTTTGAAACGCCGCCCACGCAATGCCAACAACACGCAATATAATGATGACTTCCAAATAACTTTTGAATTATTTCCACGTATATATTGTTTAACTAAAAGCTGGGGGCAACAAGAAAATAAGCTCGCAAGTCGTCGGTTTTGCTTTTCTTTGCATGATTATCGACCAAACAAGGCGCACTAACTCACCCGCTTTTCTATTTCGATACCGCGCTTTAACATGTTCGCCTGCGTATTTTATTGCATCGTGTATTTTTGCTGCAGCGCTAAATTTCCAACAGCCCTCCACCCACTGACCATACCAGTAAAATTCGATTAATTATGAACTAACACCGGCAATCGCGATAAAATCTCGTGTCGAGCGAAAATGATGACGCTTTAACGCTTCCGCAGTTGACAGAGGCTAATTTTGAATTAATGAATGTAAACTCAATTTTGTTGAGCTTCCAATTTGCATCAATTATACCTGCGAAATAAATTGTAATCTTGTATTAACAAATTAGTTATTATTTGATGCCAAAAATATAATTTGGTGGTATTAAAGTAAATTTTGTTCACTTAGTTATAAACATGAAAAAAAATGATGTAATAAATTCTCCCACAGCAATTAACACCTGAATTCTAGGTAGCTAGCTTAATTGAGATTTCAAGAAGTTCTTCGAAAACTAGATATCTTATCACAATCAAACTCAACAGAGAAGCGTATTTTGCATCAACATGTTAACCTTTGATCGATCTTCGTGTCTGATTTAAAAATTGATCAATAATTGAATTTTTATCAATTTACACAAAATTTGACAGGTCTTATAAAAGATAAAATGATCTTTTTTGTGTGCTTATAATGACAATAATAGACAAATAAATATTCGTTTTATAGCTTTAGCAAAGGCTGGATAAGAACTATATAAACATAGGCTTCTGAAAACTTTTATTTACTGTGTATTTTAATTGCTGTGCCCAATATTATCAGATAATTCTTTCTCCACAATCTGCGGCCCCATTTTCGTAAAAAAACCTCCTTCGTCATGTTCTTAAAGCAGGAAACGTATAGGGCAATTTTCAGCAATTATGAAGGGGGTAAACCAAAAAACACGCGACTAAACTTTTGTTACTTGGCTCGAATTTTGATTTCCAATCGCACGTTTGGGTTGGTTATATGTGACCCATTAATTTTCAGCTTCAATTCCATGGCGAATTTATTTGAAAAGTAAATTTAAAACCAGGAATATCCTTTTCCAGTACTTTTTATATGCACTGAAATAATCAATAATCAATTTTATTTTTACTGCCAAAAAAAAAACACAAAAGGAAGTGAAAAAATTTATATGCATGATTGTATTATCGTATCAGAAAAAAATAAATCTTAACCACCATAATAAAAATATAAAAAAAAAAAATTAAAAAAACGGAGGATGAATGCGCTAAAAGAGGAAAATGCAAAGAGAAGCGAGGATGTATCTGCTAAAGTTGGAGATTGACCTTGGTCACTAGTGGTGCTGCTGGAGAGAGCCGCGCGGCTCCAAACGCTTTGAAATTGCGACACGTCAAGCAGCATTAATGTAAAAAATATTAATATTGAGAAATAAAATTTTGCTAGCGACAAAACGTTTTGGAAATGAAGTAATGTAAAAAATTATTTTCATAAACGGTAGTTTTTTTCAAAACGGTCAAGATTTTACGTTGTATAAAAAAGGAATATAAAATTAATTTGTTATTCAAAATTCAAAACTAAATTGAAGTTGACAAATAAACATCTCGTTGGAAGTAAAAGTCCGATTCAGTCCCGAGACTAAAGTGGTCTGCGGAATGCGAAAGAAGGAAAGAAAGAAAGGTCCATCGCAGCTCAGGTGTATACGCAAGAAAAAAATCTTCGGAGAGCTGTTGCGGCAAGCTCGATTAATTTAGTTGGTCTCGTCCTCGATTCCGTGGCGGCCGCGCTCTCGATTTCCAATTCCCTGCCCTACAAATAATGCTCATTGTAAAATCTCTGCAGAAAAAAAAACAATGACCAAAAAGACGACCCCGAGCAGGTGCGCGGAGGGTGTCGTCTGGCGATCGGCGCCCTCCGGTTCGGCGCTCCGAGGACGATTCGCGTCCAGGAGGGGCTCAAGTTTGACAGGGCAAAATTAGCCTCGGGTTATTCAAGGTTGCGGAGGTCGAGACTTACGGGTTGTTGAGGTGCTGGGGGTGCAGGTTGGAAGGCATTTCGGTGCACTGGCGGTGTCGTGCAGCCGCTCTCACATCTCGCACTGCTGCAATGCTGTGGAGCAAGACCACTGAGGTTGGGTTCGCCGACAGACGCCGGTCGCGCACGGAATTAAACGAAGGAAAGGAGCGAGACCGAACCTCCTATTGCGAGTAACAGGAGAGCAGGAGCATTTGGCTCCTGCTATTCTCTTTGGAAGGTGCGGTCTTTGAGAGCGAAACTGTTGCCCAGCTAGATAATATCCCAACTTTTTCAGTGTTATATAAATTAAATTTATTTTAAAAAATATTACAAAATAAAAAAACAAGTTGATGCTCTGCTACATACCTGTTTGATAAAAAAAATTGTCAAGCCAGGAGTTGTTTTTAATGAACTTTTGATATAAAAATGACCGCATACAGCATAATTATACCCAAATTGAACTGACTTATATAATGGAGCATTTTTTTTTCATTTTATATTTTTAAGCAAGCAAAATGATTTAAAATGCTTAATGTGCACTAATTGAGAGTCCAGTAATAAATTAATGAAATAATGTATGGAAATTGATGGAAATAAAAATAAATTGTACAATCTATAATTGGTACAGCTAAAAAATTTTCTTTTCAAATTAAATTTTTTGAATGAAATTGTTTGAATTTGAATAGATTATGAAAGTGTGGACGTGCATATAACATGAAAAATAAATCCAACCATATTAAATAATAAAAAAAAAACGGAAACTGGAACACCCAACTCTACACTAAAAATTCTAATTAAAAAAAAAATAAAATAAAATAAAAACACACACTCACACTCATTAACAACATACACTATTAAAGAAGCTATATAATCATCTTTTTCAGCACTTTAATTTGTGCAAATTATAATCAATACCAAAAGTATTTATCTGTTATGTTATTCTTCAATCAAAAATAAGAAAACATAATTATATTACACAATTGTGCAAGCCGCAACGTAAAGAATTTTGAAGAAAGACTACGCTCAAAAAAGCAATCTTCATCAATTCAATATCAACGAAATATATTTGGCCAAATTCAATTCCAATTCAATTTTTTTCATGTATGATTTGAGTAGAATAAACAACAATAATATATTTGAAAGGAAATAAATTTGTGTGTTTTAATGTATGAGTTAAGGAATTTTTTAAGTGTTTAAACATTTGTTTTTAATATGTTTGTAGGAAGCATCACGTGTGCTTTGCATATACTAGGACAGACAGACCAATTCAAAATTTTCACGCAAACACACATGTCACACTATACATAATATCAGTGCGTGTAGTCGGCAAATAATACAATAAATCGGATTAGAGCCAACGAGGTCACATGGCCTAATGGTAAATGGACACTTCCTGCCCGTGGCTGCGTTTCAGAACACACAGTCGTCTCTCGGCGTTAAACCTCGGCTCAGGTCGGCTCCGGCAGCGCTCATCCTTCTCTCCACCTCTCGCTGGCTTGTCATTACGTAGTAGGTACCCTGAGCACCGACCCTGAGAGCCTTTGTTGGGTCGGAAAATGCAACCCTGCCGATGAACGTGCCCTCCAACAGGTGAGCTTGAAACCGAATCGAGTTGGAATCGGAGGCGATCGCGGTCTCAGGTCAAGGTTTTTGCTGGCCACCTTTGGTCAGGTCGATATTGTTGCAGTGCAGAGAGCGTGGTTTTGCCTGGCTTTTCATGGCAAAAGGAATTTGCAAATTGCATTAATGGCTGCAGTTCTGTATGCATTGCGACGGTCAGGGAGCCGCGAAATTAAGACAAGAAATGGCACTTTAAATATTGCAGGGAAACTATTAAGGTTTGATGACCTCAAAAGTTTACAAATTTTTTAGGCTTTTTGCCCTGAAGCAATCATTTCAAAATATTTTGAAATCTTGGGCAGTCTTATTATTGCTATAAATTTTATACAGTTTGAATTTAAATGATATGAGTGGAATTTGTGCGAAGACCGCTTTTAGAAATCAATCAAGGCTTTCTCAGGTACGTTATTTGTTATACCTGAGAGAGGAGTAGCCACCTGATCCGCCAGTAGTTCGCTCCTTATCTACTTGATGGCGACTCAGACAACCTAATGCGGTTATATGCCAGGTACTGCAAAGGTACTTGAGATTTGTAAATTTATTGCCGCACTTACAGCAGGTTGCGTTACTTTTTATTACAATAATTTGCATAATTGATCTCAATTGTTATTAAAAATTATTCCTGCCGTTCCCTTTTAAATTGCAATGAATAATTATGTTTTAGTGTTTTAATTATTATTAGTAATTCTACGGAATAATATTCTTATTGAGAATATCAGAACGTGCAAAGATATAATTTCCTTTTTATCTCTTCATTCAATCTCCCCTCTTTGCTATTAAAAGGAATCCATTTTCTTAGTTGGAAATTGGAAATAGCCTCTGCATGCAACTTTTTACAAATGACGCACACCCAACAGCAGAGGTTAAACATAAACCGAAATCGCATGCAAACGGATGGCGAGAGTGAAACACGGCTAAAAATAAAACTTACAATAAAGAGATCGATTGAGAGAAAGTCTTATCATGATTACGTCGGCGAGAAAATGCTTGCCTGGCACGAAAAGTGGCCCTCCAACAGAGGGTGGTTGCCCCCTCCTTTTGACATAAGGTCGAGCACCAAAATAATCACTAACAGGTTGTCTATTGATTTTAAATCATTGTTGGGGAAATTAAGGAGTTCATATTTATAAATATGATAAATACCCACAATCAATTATTATACATTTATGATTAATCAAAACTTGCAATTTTTGCAATAAATGAAGGTAGTCAAATGTTTCCTCTTGTACAGTTAACTTAATATGTTTTTTAAACGTTCTAATCTCGTGAGATCTTGATGGGGGATCAAAATTAAAATTGCAATAAAAAATATCAAGCGTTTTAAATTTATCACTGAGAGTGCTTGAAACATGGTAAAATTGTCACATAATTTTTAATTAATCTCATTATTATCTCTGTTCTATCTTCACTTTTAGAAATCAAAAGAATAATGTATTTATTATCTTGGCAAATTTTGTTATGACATAAAATTCCTCCTAAATTTTTCATAAGTAATAATAAATAATAAAAATAAAGCTTGTCACTCAATTTGGCTTAAAATAAATTCACTGAAATGCAGGATTTTGTGCAAACGAACGCTACCAGGAATGTTATTTTAGAAAAAAAAGACATCATGGGATGCAAAACGCAAGACTTCACTTTGGGATCTATAATTAAATTATGGCACTAATTTACAACTTTATAATTAAGCTTTTAAATAAAGGCGCAGAAAAAAAATATGATTATAATTATGATAAAGTTATCGTCACGCCTATGATTTGAAAAGAAAAAAAATAATAATGTCACCGAGCTGTATTACAAAACCGCTAATCCAGTAGCGGACTTATGGCAGCATGGTGCTGCCTCTTTGATTTCGAGCTTGAGTCACGTGTGTGATGGTAGAAAATAGAGGGGAATATACAGCAAGCTGGCTGAGCAAAGCAAAACGTAGCCACGCTCGCGATCAGCAGTCCGCGGAGAACTAGACGTTGATTAAGACATTGCTGCCCTCACGGTTCTGCCCTTTCTCACTTGCCCTGCTCATACCTCAGGTACGTTCTCCAGAGCAAAATTTCCAAACGGATCATTCGGTTGGAATGGTTTATGTAACAGCGCTAATGCACGCCGGGGAGCGGAAGCTGCTGTGTGTGGATAAAAAATATAAGTGGGCGGAATTTCTTGCTTTCAAATGAGTACAATTTTTCATTATTAAATTGCATTTCTTATTTAAGGATTTTTTTAAATTTATTACTTTGTCTTGAAGGAACATTTTTTATGTAATCATTTCATTACTTTTGTCAAGGCAAGCAAAATGCACGTTTTTTTTTTAATTAGTATCCATTTCCCTTTTCACAGGAAAAGAATAAATGTTGGAAATGTTATCGTAATTATTCAGTAAAATCAAAATATTTAACAAACTTTAAATTATCTGAATATAAATTTTTTATTGTAAGTGACTAAAATTATAGTTAAAAAAATATAATTATAATTTTATATGATTCTGTCGCTTAATAGTTACACAATTAGGCACACTTTTTATATACAAAATTATCACTGCGTCAAAAATTTGAAATTGTATGATTTGATATCATAAATTTTCCCTGAAAGGCTCTTATGGGCCATAAATCCCCTTTTTTCACTCTAAAATTGGTTTTGATTGTTACACCGCTTCTGTGATTAGATAAGCGTGTCGATATACGTTGAGCGTTTTGTGCTGTGATGCATATAAATTTTTGTATGCTATGGCCTCTTGTCTTCTTTTATTTATCGCGCTTGGCCCTCTCTTTTTTTCATCCCATATCCAAGACAAACACTCGGCCAAAATCAATCTCGCAGCGCCTCTTTCAATCTACGGCACTACCGTTGGGGCCATCACGCAGACCACTGAACTCCAAACTAGATTCCATCAGCGTTTGCCGCATTTATTTTTTATATATAAGGCAGCGAGGACAGAAATAATTCTGATGGAAAATTAGGCCTCGTTTTCTGGAAAATCCAAATAGGCGTTCTTGGAATATAGTTCAAATGGCAGCTCGGTTCTTAAAAAATTTCCCTTTTTCCTGTTGTAAAACTGAGAGTTGTTGCGGCACGGGGCGGCGAGTTACTTTTGAACAAGGAAAAATACAGGCAATATTACGTCTGCCCACATTTTTTCAAGGTTACATCATCTCGTCGCTGACTAAAAGATTTTCTCTGTTGTATAGGAAAAACCTGCGCGTAAAATTCTAAAACATTTTTTTTCTTTATTCATTCTGATGTGTTTGATTGATTTTCAAAAGCAACAGGTTGGGGTTTTTCTATAAATCTATTCTAACATAGCTGGCAAAATTTTATATTTCCATGACGATATTTATCTTTCATTATCTACTCTGTTAAAATAGTTTTGTTTCAATTAGAAATATTTTAGCAACAAAGGAAAAGCTTTTTTACTTTTTTATGAACGTCTGTTCAATAATTTCACTTTGCTCAATTTTTTTTTTATTCTTGTATGTTTAATTTATCTATGAATGAGTGAGCACTTACCCGACAAAAGCTTTCATTAGCGCCCGCCAACTCCATCGTATTTCGGCCGCAGTCACTATCCATAGCTTTTGAAGAGCCATAAATAAACACGCACTCTAAACGCCGACGTTAAATCAGTTGAGAATAATGTTTCTGTTTGCGACCGTTATTAGCGCTCTTCGAGTGGTCCGTCGGCTACTCCTTTATATTGAAAAATATTAGTTTGATAAGCTTCTTCTAAATTTTTCAATTCTTCTGTCGGGCCGCCTCCACTTTTGATTGTGTCAACAGATTGTATCAAACACACGATTGTGTTTTGAATTTGTGGCTGCCACGTTCGATGTGGTAATCGCGAAAATAATAATCATCGTGCAACGAGATGGGACCTTGTGCAGCCGTGGAAGAAAAGACGTCGCTCTCCCAAGGTGAAACACCTCGGTAATTAGAATCGGAATTTGTGTTTTGAGCGTTAGAAATTTATTCGCAGTAGGCGTCCTCTATTTTATTTAACAGCAGGCTTAAATCGCAAACCCAAGTTCCGTGATTTGAACACACACATTAATCACGTGTTAAATGTGGTCCTAGCCAAGCCCTTCACAATCTGGCTAGAGTTTCTTACTCAAATGAAGGATATCCTTTACCTTTTTTTGCCAAAACTCATAGAAAAATTGGCATTGAGCTCTGATTCCTTTAGTTTCATTAAGATTTAGGACAAAGATTATAGAGTCAATGCTACTGAAGTCATTTATTTTTATAGTTATACACTGATTGCTTAAAAATAGTATGTTCTAACAAAATGAGCCATAAATATTAAAGTTAGTATATTTATTAGAACACATCTCTTGACAAAAGCACACAGAATTCATTACCAAAACTTTGTCATTTGAGATGCTTCTTATATATATATTTTTTTTTCTTAAATTTCCTCTAAATGACGATTTATCCATATTTTCATTCACCAATGTTATTGATATTATTTGTATTTAAAATAATTCTTAAACTTTTAACTGAAAGGTAGATAAGTATTAAAAATTATGTGAAAGGTCTAAAGTAATGACAATTAAAAGTAAAAATTCTTATGTAAAGTAATTAATTTACAGGATTTAATTTTATTTGTTAATTTTCACCTTAATTTTGTTTGCGCAACCAGACATTAAATTGAGCAGCACTCAACTTTGCACTCTTCAATCAAAAGAAACAGAAAATCGCCTTGTCACGTTTGCGGCATTGCGAGGGGTGGTTATGGTTGCTGGCCGCCGCGCACCAAAAGGGTTTCGCGAACACGTGCACCTGGACAAACAAACGTAAATAAAATATCGCCCCGGCTGCGAGTACACTAGCTCTTCTGCAGACACTCTCTTGTCTGCGATTGTAAATAAATAAGCCGTGAATAAAAGCGCGTCCTCGAAGGAATTTTGTTCACTCTTGTTAGAGCTTTGGCTGCTGAAGGTGTGACGAAACGCGCGTGAAGGTCCGCGTAGGCACTCAGG